CCCCTCAAATTTTATTTTTTTTATACTATTGATATTAAAAATTTAATTTGTACCATTCTCCCCTCTTTAAATTTATTTTTGCACCCCCAAATTTTTTGTTTTTAGCCAACTTGTCCACAATTGTCTATTAATAATTAAACACTTCTTTTGTTTTACTATTAATTTTGTATATTAATTATTGTCAACTACAATTTTAATTGGCCTATATTAGACTTCAACTCTCTTTTATTGACAAAGCTAGGGCTGGTATTTATTGACGAAAAAACAAAAACCGAACTGAATCGAACAGAACTAATGAGAAAATAAACTGAACTGAACCGAATTATGTGTAACTGTAATCGAAAATCAATTACCGAAATGTTATCAATTCGGTATCGATTCTGAACCATGAACCCATTATGTCGTTTATTTTTGCTCATTCTCAACTAATTTTCTGGTTTCGCCACTAGATAAGGGAAGTGGAATAGTGTGGGAAGTGTGTTGGTAGGTTAATATATCTATTAAAGGTAAACTTGTCATTTAACCCTTAAAATGGCTAGATTTTATTTTATTTTTTTTTTTTTTTTACACAAATGTGATTAGATTTCATTTTTTTCTTCAAAAGTTGGCTAAAAAAGGGGTCTCTACTTAAAATTATATCAAAGACAAGACTTTTCAGTTCATGCATTTTTTTATAAAATCATTCCATCCTTTATGATAGCATCAAAGACAAGACTTTTTAGTTCATGCATTTTTTTTTATAAAATCATTCCATCCTTTATGATAGGAGAAATAGATACTTGCGGAAATTGCGCTACGCACGAGCCACAGTGATTTTTATTATAAACATACGATCGTTAAAAATTATTTGCAAATATACCATAATTGAGAATCTTATTTGTATTTCAACAAGGCTGACCAATTATATTTCCTTTTTTTTCAATTTATAATTTTGGTTGGTTGTTTTTTTATAGTTAGTGTCGTGTCTAAAGGAATTCTATAGGGAGTCAATAACTAATTAACAATCAAATGCATCTTCTTTCTCTTTCCTCTCACTTCCATTTTTTCTTCTTCCTCGTTTTCTTCCACATTTCTTTTTCTTCATATCTCTCTCTTCATCCCAATTTATAGGCACGGTCGCCGAAAAATAAACCGGTGATCCGTAAATCGGCCGTGGAGAAGGCGAAGATGAAGAAGACGAAGAGGCTGAACGAGGTCAGAACGTCCGAGACTTTGAAGAAGAGGAAAGTCTTTTATGTATATATTCTCGTAAACACAATCGACAGTGTAATGTTTTTTTTTTAATATTTTCTGTATTTATTTTGTATATAATAACAAGATTGATTTATATTGTGTTTTTGTACTTATGTTCTCCGTATATAATGAGTATATTTTCTGTATATAAGTCTGATAATGTATGTTGCATGTATTAAACCAGAAAATATACTTGTAAAGAAAAGCGGAAATACCTATTAGCGTTTTTATTAAGTATTAAAATGGCTTATCCATTTCTTTACCTTTTCTCTTTCTTCATATCTTCCGTCCACGTGTCGGACATCTAATGAGGCAGTTAGTTATGTTTTGGGAACAGAGCATGTGCGAGCATATTACATATGTACTGCAGTATCTCCTTTTTCAATTAATGAAGTTAATTTTTCCTTCATTCATCCTTCATTACTGTTCATAAAATTCACATGGTATCAGAGCCCTAGCAAGCACAGTCTGCGAGCTACAATGGATACATAATATAGGGGCCGATCTATTGATGTCTATTTCAACCCCTATCACTCTATGGTGCGACAACCAAGCAGCCATACACATCGGAGAAAACTCCATTTTCCATGAACGGACAAAACATCTAGATATCGATTGTCATCTGGTCAGAAACAAAGTAAAGGAAGGATTCATTCACCTGAGCCATGTCTACTCTCATGGGCAGCTTGCAGATCTTCTCACAAAGCCGTTGGGAGTCTCTGGTTTCAAAAAACAAGTGTTCAAGTTAGGCATGTGTGATCCACACGAGTGCCCAACTTGAGGAGGGCGTGTAAAGAAAAGCGGAAATACCTTTTAGCGTTTTTATTAAGTATTAAAATGGCTTATCCATTTCTTTACCTTTTCTCTTTCTTCATATCTGCCGTCCACGTGTCGGACATCTAATGAGGCAGTTAGTTATGTTTTGGGAACAGAGCATGTGCGAGCATATTACATATGTACTGCAGTATCTCCTTTTTCAATTAATGAAGTTTATTTTTCCTTCATTCATCCTTCATTACTGTTCATAAAATTAACAATACTATAAATATACAAAAAAAAAACACGAGATGTAAATAACGCAAAAAGTAAACAAAAAAGGATTACAAAAGATAAAATTACCTGGTTTATTTTGTATATTTTCTGGACTTATATATTTCCTGTATATTTTCTGTATATCTTCTGTATATATTATGTATATATTTTGTGTGAATGTGATTCTGATTATTTGATGTTTTTTGGTAATTTATTTATTCTTTTATTGGTTTATAAACCTATAATAAACTAGAAAATTTAAGGTAGAAAAATTATTTAAAAATTTACATGAAGAGATAATTAAAATTTAAATCAATGAAATAAAGATAAGAGAGTAGAGAGGTAGAAAATAACGGAGAAGACAGAAAAAAAAGGGATGAATAGGGAGAATTTTTAGGAGTAGATAAATGAGAGAGAAGAGAGAAAGCTTTTAATATGTAATATTTATTTAAATATTTATGTTAGATTAGATAGATGTGCAAATAAATTTTTTATCTGGTATCTTACAATCGTTTAACAATCAGTTAAGTACATATGTAAATTGCCCTAAATACAAATATAATTTATTTATTTAAACATGCAATATGAATGTTAAATTGAAGTTATCAATAAATGATTAATTCAGTATATTATATATGTAAAATTGATAAAAAAATACAAAAGTTATTAACTTTTAAAATATTACCACAAATAATCAATATATTTATGGATAATCCGGACCTAATTATTTTTAGATTGGAAGTAAATTAAAATCTATTCAAGCCTAATACCGAAGCATGTAAGTTTGACAAGTAGGATCCCCAAAGAGTCTGCCACTTAGGCTCAACACGTTGTGAATTGATATATAGAGGGGATTTGAAACATGTGAACTGAATAGTGTACTGATTTCGTTTTTTATATTTGCTACTGCAGTGTCAAAAATGTCACAGCCCATGTTAATCTCTGCTAAATATAATAACTAGGCCCAATGTAATAAACATGGTGAACATCAGTTTCGTTACTCTTTCCCCATTGGAACCAACGAGGACTATGTTATCAAGAACGGGTCCGCACAGCACGCCATCGGAAGTTCGTGTCTCGTTCATGCTGTAAAAGACTATAGAAGTCACTCCCGACGGTCTGGCGTTAAATGTTACAAAGTGATGATAAACGGACCCTCTTCCATAGCTAGACATCACAAAGTTATGCACATCTGGTCCAATCTCAAGAAACAATACGAGATCACCAATGCACAAATCGTTGGCATCCCCTAAAGTGAAGTTGAGAGTGTACGTTAAGGTCGTGGCTAAATTTAGGTCCACTTGGACTCCAGATGGGCTCCCAGAGAGTAGCTCGATTGCTGCTTTGCCGTGAGGGACTTTAAAATGTATCGAGTCTATGTATTTTATGGTCCCAAGTATGTTCCATTCTTGAAGAGGAGAGTTCAGTTCTTGTACTTGATCGTTCATGAGTAGAATTCCTTCAGAGGAGTTCTTTATGAATGACGGTCCAACTTCAAAATCGCCATTTGAGAGTAAGTTGCCTGCAAGAGAATTATACCTTGAAATTAGTCTGCACATTGTTGTATGAATCAACAGAAAAGTTGAATTGTATTACTCATCATACATCCAAGTAATCTGTAGTATATTCAAATTTGTATAGTGTAATGAAGGAGGGACAGAAAAAAAAGCTTACCGTCATACCATCTGGGCATGAAATTCCTTTTAACAGTAAAACCATCCACCAGAGGCCCACAACTTATAACATTGTTGCCCGAGTTATGTGCCGCCACACTCTTGATCTCAATATTGATATAGTCTGTCGTTCCCGTTCCCAATTGCCCCAAATACAAAGCATTTGCTTCCCAAAAATTTCTGCTGAAATCCAGGCCAAAATAAAACACCTTTGATCTTTCATTATAGCTGTACCTTTCTTTCACAGTTACATTAACAGCCGTACGATTATCTTGAGCGCAATCCTCGTTCACAGCAGCAAGATTGAAGCTGAGAACGTAATCCAAAACGTCGTTAGTGCCACTAATGGTTTGATTTATCGTGCCATTTTCACCTAACTGAATTGCGTGACCCCCATTAAACGACAAGTTGTTACCGGAAGATACATAGTAAACTGCACCACTAAAGGACCATCCTGGAATGGTATTTGTTCTGTTGAGCAGCAAGAACTGGGAGGTTCCATTAGCTGTTATGTTCTCGAAATCCGGGTTATGTAGTATTTCTGTTAATGAAGATGATGGATTCATTATACTTGTGTAAAATCAAGTTTAGGATAAACAGAGAGATTTGACTACTTGTAAATTAATAATATTTCTGTAAATGCCGATGTGGGATTGCGCATGTTGATCAAGATTTAGGATATAAAGAGAACATGTGAACTTTGAAAATTAAAACATGTATATATACATACCTGCAGCTGCATATGATATCGTCATGAACAAAAACATTGTTTGCAGTGGCTTGAATGAGTGCTCCATTAGGATTAAGGGTGTTCCTTCTTTGTACGTCCAAGTTAAATGGACCAATACTATAGTTGACTATTACGAAATAAATAATAATCAAATTCAGAGACTTCATTGCTTCGAGATTCAGAAAGAAATGTGGTCAAATTTCATTTAACTGTTATATAAGCACAAGTTGATCTACATATACATTAATATTTCAAGTTGGATTTGTTGGATATTAACTAGTACCATGCACATATAAAAATAAAATTATATGTCATATATGTGTGCTTATGTTATTGATGGGCGTCGACCACAATAATGGAGGGATTAATAGTGTAATTATGGCATGGGCGTAGCCAGGATTTTTTTCTACTCGGGGCTGCTTAACATTGAGCTATTATTCGGATCAAACTATTCACGAACACAATTCATTTTTGGCACGTGAAAGCTCGAACTCAACTATTTCATACACTTCAAAGGCTAAGCTCGAATACCTAATCAAGCTTTTTTATAAAATAATCACAAGTTCGAACATGAGATATCCCACTTGCCTCGGCTCGAATAACATCTTTAGCTACATGCCATAAGAAACCAATGTATGAAAATAATTCTTTTTAATATTCAATACAACTTACATGAATTACAAAGTTAAATGAATGGAGGTGTATTTTAAGAATCCAATGAATGCCAAATCTAAATTATTAAAATCCATAAGTCGAATCACAAAATAAATGTTCTATAGGAATTCTAGAAGAAACCAAATATGTAAATTAAAATATAAAGTAATTGATATATTCCATATGTAATGTAATATAAATTACATGAATAACCAATATTATTTCAAATAACATAATTTAATATGAATCAACCAAAATAAAAAAGAAAACAATAAGAAGAAACACAACATGTTAAACGATAAAGAAAGTATATATATATATTTAAATATGCAAATTTTAGCTTATACAAATTTGCAAATTTTATATCATGTCCAAATATGCAAATTTTAGCCTATACAAATTTAAATTTTATTATCTCAAATGTTTAGTTGTGCTTTCATCAAATAACTTTGTGTGCAAACTAAGTATATTTTTATATTTTTTTATCACAAATCAATTCCTATTAGCTCTTGATCATTACATAACATAAGAAATATCACTATTAAAACAAACATTAATTAATAATCTTCTAAAAATTTGTAAAATAAAATAAGAATAAGCAATAATTTGTGTATGTTTTTTATTAAAAATGCTCAAATCTAAAAAGAAAAAAATTACATGGGGCTGGAGCCCACCCTTATCCAAGGGTGGCTCCGCCCATGAATTATGGGTTTGAGATAACGGTTAATCAAGATTTACTTAAGGATTAATGTATTCTATGAACTATGAATTAATATAAAGAGATTGCCGATAAGAAATCGACGCAACGAAAGGGGCCAGCATGAGTATATTATCTTTTGGGGGATTATGAGCAAGCTGAGGGTTAGGGAGATGACATTCGTTCCCATACAAAACTCTCAGGTTAATGATACGACCGGCTGGGGTCGCTTTAACGGTCTGCTTTGTCAGTTTTTGCTTACATTGTATAGAGATTGGTGCTCAAGCTTAAATGTGGATCGGTGCATCACTGGTGTTATGGCTTCTTGGGCTGTTCATTTTCACAATTTAGGTCTATTTTTAGGCAGGTTTAATTTCCATTGTGCTTATTGATGCATCTCCAAACATAGTGGGTCGGCTCAAACCGTATAAGTAATCGTTAGGTATAACGAGGAGGCCCCCACGTTTCCACGTGTATAGAGGATTTTCCGATTCTTATAGGACTAGGAAGCTGCTTGCTAATGTCTGTGTGTCGGTCTATTTATGTGACCACCAATTCTTTTAGAAGGACATTGTCGGTTACACTTGCAAGAGATGAGACGTGATAAGGTGTCTTTTAGGCGAGAACATTAAATGAAGAGAGAGAGAGAGAGAGAGAGAGAGAGAGAGTCGGCATTAGGAGGCTCCGATTTGTTGCTCTTGACATTAATAGATGTGACATTTTAACTTTGTGCCATAATGCAACTGAATGTAATATTGCAATGTGTTTGTTATATTTTTGTGGTACTTTCTTGCGTTTTTCGTGTCGTTTTTAGGTTAGTTTTTGTGTAAAACTGGTCTATTTTATCGTGTTTATGTGTCTTCGTTTTGTTATGTGCTTTTGTATTTTGGCATATTTTCATATCTTTTTTGGTGTGTGAAGGTCCTCTATGCACATTTCGAAAGAGGAGCCATTGCCCGAGACATTGTCCATGTTTTCTATGCCGAGCCATTCCAAGACGAGCCACCCAAGCCATCATTCGAGCAATTCTGAGACGAGTTAGTCGAGCCATGTGATCAAGCCACCTGAGCTTCTGAGAAAGATATTGCCGATTGAGTCACCCGAGTGAAGGAGCTGAGACCCATACCAGTTCGCCGTGAAACTCCCTTCCCGAGTATGTGATTCGAGCCCGTGGAGAGCACACGACACTCATACCGAGCCCATGCTCGCTACCAGCGAGACGCGCGCACGACAGACTCCAGCCTTGCAACGAGCCATGTTCGCGACCAGCGAGACGCGCGCATGAGGGACTCCCGGCACTCGCAGCGAGCCCAT